CCCCCCCCCCCCCCATCGCCCCCCCATAAATAGTTACAATTCCTGCTCTCAGGTTTGTTTTAAAGCTTTGTGCGACTGCACTGGGGAAGGTTCCCCTAACTTTGTGCATCTGTGACATGAGGGCAATGAAATGAGGGTACTAGGGATCACTGAGACAGGTAGACCCAGTAAAAAACAGAAACCTTACAGAAGCTCTAACTCTTCCCCCTTTCCCCTCTAAAGTAAATACAGTAGGTGATATATTTTTAGATGGAGAAATCCCCTCTGCCAGCTATTGAATTCTGAATGCTGCCACCCAGCGCCTTCAACAAAAATTGATTGAAAAAGTCATGTTGGGTTTTGCTGGCAGGGCCATCTATGGATTACAATTCAGACAGTTAATTAGCAAATGACCAAAATGTAATTTGATTTTCCCCTCTTTAGAATATAAAACTGCTGTGCCTTAAAGATGTATGTGACCTGGATATATTCTACTTTGAAACACACAATAAAGGAGAAAGTCAGTCTTTTTTCTATACTGTCTCTCTCATATGCGATCTTACCCCCTTATCTGACCCTAATACTTCAATTAAAGCTTTCCCAAGAAACAGCTGAGTTGGCAGCTGTGCTTTTTATTTTTTTACCAGATGACAGTGACAGTAGCCAGAAAAATAATGCTGCTTGATGTTTTCCACTTCCTTATTCTTCTATATTTTCTGAATGTAGTGAAAGTATTTGTGTAGTTTTAAATACTTTTTGGCTGTCATCAAAGCAATAGTAGCTTTTAAATGGGAAGCCAGTCTTGGTGAAAACCACACATGAAGCCTAGCATGAATCTGGAATTTCAGGTAGTTCTGGACACAGCTGGAGTTGCCCAGCCTGGAAAAAAAACAATGCTGGGCGGGGCAGTGTGCTTGCACACACCGGCCCATACGGCTTTCGTCTTGCGATCGCGCTACCGATCCGAGGAAAATTGTACGATTTTCGGCGGGTTTTCTAGCGTGCTGGTAAGACGAAAGTCGTGCGATCGTACAGTAAATGCGGTCGCACGCTGCCCACACACCTGACGATTATTGTATGATCGCAGGATCACCCGCGATTATCGTACGATAATCGTCAGGTGTATGGGCACCTTTAAAGTCACATTTAGGATTTCCCATCAGTGTGGACATTATTTTTTATATAAGGTGGTCTGTTTAATAATCATGCATGAACTGCAACATATCCCCAAATTTCTTGGAATAATGGTATACTGTATGTATACTAAATGAACAATCAGTAACGATGCAAAAATTAGTGTCTTTGGTTGCTGAAATTTTCCTTATATCAAAAGGAACCTGTACTGTAATAAATTACCTGGATCTTATACCTAAGATTGCAAGTCACTACAAAGTCCTGAGCTGCAGGTTCAGCATTACTGAGGGAAAGGAGAATGTGTTCTTCTATCACAGGCTTTGTGCACAGGTAATAAGTTTCAGTTACATTTTCCCTTAAAAATAATACAAAAAATAATACATTATATATATATAATGTATTATTTTTAAGGGACCGCTATGACCACATACAGAAGGTTATATTTCCTTTGCGCAAACTGTCAACCTTAGGTTTATCTGATTCATAGCTGTTGAATGTAGCAGTACTTACTACATTCAATATATTGCAAGTGCATTCACTATTAGCATATTGCAAATTATTTGTGTGAATGGCAGAAATATAATAAATTTTTTTTACTCTGGATGTCCATATTAGTAGCTTTACTACCATCTTCATTTTTCATATACATGGCTTAAAAATAACCATTATCATAAATTCAAAAGGTGATCATACTTTTACAAAAAAATACATAAAGCAAAGCTATGAGCTGTATATTTTTGTGGGATTTTTAGAAAAGAAATACCTATTAACAGCAGAAAATGGTTTAGACACATGAGAGCAGATATGAAGAGTTGGGTGGAGTTAACATGACACAGCAGAAACTATAATGGGTGTGACTTGGCAAATTTGACTATAAATCAGGGTTAAAATCTCAAACAAGTAGAAGAGTTAAACTTCTTGTTTGAATCCTCAGCACCAGCTAAACCTCACTGTCAAAATGGTCCACTGGACAGCCGAAGAGAAAGCTGCCTTGACCTCATCATGGTCAAAAGTCAACCTTGAGCAGGATGGCCAGGAAGCCCTGACCAGGTAACTAAAAATGTAATATTTTATTTTATAACAATAAAGTCACATCATACACAGTCTTTATATAGTTGCTACGATGAAAAGTAACAGAACTAAACTCTTTTAACACTGGTAAATTTCTTTAGATTTAACTGTTAAATTCTGTTAAAACTGTCAAAATGAAACTCTTTAAATGTAACTGTTTTGCTGTAACATTTCTTTCATGCATTTTTGCTGACATTAAGCTTTGGTCTTTGTATTATACTGATATATGGGAGCTTTGTAAATAATTACAAAAATCTTTGACTAATAAATAGTTTATAAATATGCCATTAATAAACCACTCAATTATCTATCATTTAGGCTATTTCTCGTGTACCCCTGGACCCAGAGGTATTTCAGCAGCTTTGGAAACCTGGCCGCTGGTAACCCCAAGGTCCGCGCTCATGGCAAGAAGGTGCTGGGAGCTGTTGACAGCGCCATTCACAATCTGGATGATGTGAAACATGCCCTGGCTGGCCTGAGCAAACAACATGCTACTGAGCTCCATGTGGATCCCGAGAACTTTAAGGTAGGTTCATTACAAACGCACTGCATCGCATTACGGCCGGCTCACTATGTTGTGGGGCAGGAGTGGCCGCTGCACAGGAACGCAAGGCACATCAATGCTTGAGGTCCGGTCCGGTGCGGTCCGAACGAAATAGTGCTTGCAGTGTCATTCACTTCAATGGACCGCTACGCCCCTTCCTGCCCCACAACATAGTGAGCCGGCCGCAATGCCATGCAATGCATTGCGGCCAGAATTGGGCTAGAACGCACTGTGTCTGGTGTGAACGAGGCCTAAATCTTTTACTAGTATGCCGAGAGTAGTGTAGTGGGTGTTTCGTTAACTGTAACAACTTCAAACCCAGAAAGTATAATATTGCAACATTAAGCATGCAGCCAGACTAGGAGAAGTATAGGAGCAAGTCTGGCATGAATACAAGATTTCCATACAAATGGCATCAATATGTTATGTTCCTGATAAAGTATTTGGCGTGGTTGAACAATAGGGTATGATAGAATTAAAAAATGTACTAATGTCTTATTCTGTTTCCACAGCGTCTTGCCGAAGTGCTGGTGATTGTCTTGGCTGGCAAGCTGGGAGCCGCCTTCACTCCTCAAGTCCAGGCTGCCTGGGAGAAATTCAGCAACGTTTTGGTGGCCGCTCTGAGCCATGGATATTACTAAATTCACATTTCAAAAAACAGAGACTTAACATCATGATTGCCAGCTGTTACCCCTGTGATTATTAATTTCCAATAAAGCTTTTACTTTATAAATCAAATGTTTTTTTATTTACACAATAATTATTAATGTCAGAGTTTTTGGAGATCACGGGTTTAAAAAAATGATTCATATTTATGATTAATATAATAAAATATTTTAAAACTTTGCTAAAAGTCTGCATGGTAACCTAAAGCATTCCAGCAACACATTTTAAAAATATACATTAGTTGAAAGTGTTATACATACAGAAAAAGGTCAAAACACTTCCTAAGCCAGGAATGGGCAACTCCAGCCCCCCAGCTGTGCTTTAACTACAAATCCCATCTGCCTCTGCCTCTGGGAATCATGTCTGTAACTGCCAGTCTTGCAATGCTTCATGGGACTTGTGTTCTACAACAGCTGGATGGCTGGAGTTGCGCACCCCTTTTCTAAGCACTGCACAGTCTGACCAACAGCTACAGGAAGCATTTGGCTGAAATTACCAGCAATACATGTATGAGATCATATGTATTGGGTACCATGAACATTTTTCAGAAGCAAACCTAACCTTTTAAACAATTTGTTTAACAAAGACAAGGAAATAGAAAACAACATGATTATAAAATTATATTTATAATGCTTTAAAGATCACATAATATTACAGGAGTCATTTATGGAGAAATGTAGGGTTATCCTAAGGGCAGGGTTCAAAATTTCTACTTGCCTGCTAATATTTGGTGAGTGGAAATAAAGTGAGGCCAAGTCAGGCACGAGTCTAGTGGCAGGATAGGGGAAGAGAAGGTGGGGCGCCCAAGCGCCGTCCGTCGGGCAGTGAGGAAGGAGCCGGGAGAGGGCTAGCAGGGAGTTAGGAGGCGAAAGTACATAATTTTTCCTGTAGAGCCTATCTAGGAAGTATTTATGTGGAATTGATGACTGCTGCCACCCAGTCATTAATTCCACATAAATACCTCCTAGATAGTACTACACAGCCCCAAAATGTCTTCTCTGTTGCCTTGCCACCATGTTGGATACCTCTAAGAGAGAGGTTAAGTGCTAGGTGTCAATCATTGCCCGCTTTAACTTGTTCTGATACCTGCTCTGTTTGTGTACTCTATATGACAGCAGCGCTGTCTAGCATGCTGTCTCACTCCATATGTATCATGGCAATGATGGAACCACACATTAGGGCCTTAGAAGTGCAGTCCAGAGACAGTAGCTTTTCATATTTCACATGTCAGGGAGACTGTGTGAGAATAGAAGTAAAGAGGAGAAAAGATTGCAGTGCCACAGTTGGGAGGATAGGTAAGCAGGGGGAGCCTGTGAGAGAGCGGCGTCGCTGCCTTGCCTAGGGCAGCAGCAAAGGTAAATACACCGCTGGTCACACTGTGACGATTAAAGGCAAAGTCCACTGTTTAAAAAACATAATAACAGCACACTGTTATACATAAAAAAAATGTGCATGTATTATTTTTTTGCATAGGAGCCGCTAAAGCATTGAAACATTGCAACTGTGTTTAGTGGATCGTGGGTGCAATGCTCTGGCTCCTGCAGACTCCATTGACGGGAGGAAGTGTCAATAGACTACAAGTTCGGTGACGTTTTTACACCTTGAAGGGGCTAATGTTTTATGACACATAAGTTAAAATAAGTATTTATGCAAAAGTCAATTCTTGGTAAAACCACATTTGACTACAGATATTACCAGTTTTCTACATTTGCATCCTGCAGACAAGATTGTCACAGATTCTTAACTGTATTGAGGTCTGGGTCTAAGATATTCAGGTTCTTGAATCCTGCTGACCTGGCTAAAATTCCAACTGTGTGTAGCCCTGCCAGCACCACCTGCTTTGATCAGAGTCAATCATACAATCGACTTTTGTCAAAAGAGCCAGGTGGATAATTGTTGGCCAAGCAGTGACTGTAGCCAATCAAACTAAGTTACTCTTCAGGTATTCTGAGAACAGCGCCGGTTGCCCGAATACAATAGCTGTAGATTTTTGAGATAGGAGCTAGATATGTCAATAATTCTCTTCTTTAGACTGTTAAATGTTTCTGGAAGGGCTGCTCCCACACAAAACAGGGGACCCCCAAGCAGAATAAGGGGTCTAAAGTGGAACTAAATAGAGAACAAATGGGGGCACCACTGCTGATAGTAAAGTCCAATATAGTATTTTTTTTTCTCAAATGCATTTTTATTGAGGTTAACACGTAATAGGGTTACAAGACAGTGCAAGTAATATTCACATTAAACCAATGTACATAAATACATTGCATTTCCATGCCGGATGCTAACTGCGATGGTAGGCTCTCAGGTAGATAAAGTGAATGCTTGCGTGTGCAAGCTTTAGCAGGCTCAGTGAGTGTGACAGGTATCTATCATTTTTATTGATGCTTTTTGATACATTGTGGTATGTTTCATGCGTCAATAAACAGACGCCATTGATTCATCACTTGGAGTGCCGGTGTCTATGTTAGCCAGGTGTCTATCATGTCACGTAAACATCAAAGAAAGCCTGGTAGTGACGTAGTGCCAGATATTTGAAAGATGTATGGAGTAATTAAACCCGACACCAAGAGTGGGCAGCCCGGGGTCCGGAGCTCGGGCAGGCAGAAGTACATCAGAAGGCTTGGAGGGAGTAGGTTGTAAGAAAGCAGTGAAAGAGGGAGGGAAAGAGGTGTGAGAAGAGAAGAGAGAAGTTAGGGCAGAGTCTGGCTGTGGGCACAAGTGCAATAAGGTCGCTAGAAGTCACCTCCATCACAATGTGAGGAGGCAGCGATGAATGTCAGAAGGTATGTATTTCTCAATCCAGGGGGACCATACTCTTTCAAATTTCTGCATTGTATTTTCCAGCTGTGCTGTCCGCTTCTCACCACAGATCCTCCACAGCCCCCCTGAGATCTGGCAGACTGCAGGGTCTCAGGGGGGTCTCTGCAGGATCTGTGGGGGGCTTTGCAGGACTTGTGGGGGGCTTTGCAGGACTTGTGGGGGGTTTTCAGGATCTGTGGTTGGCTTTGCGCCTGCAAACCCCCCACAGATCCTGCAAAGCCCCCCTGAGATCCGGCAGACTGCAGGGTCTCAGGGGGGTCTCTGCAGGATCTGTGGGGGGTTTTGCAGGCTCCAAAGCCCCTCACAGATCCTGCACAGCCCCCCTGAGATCCGGCAGACTGCAGGGTCTCAGGGGGGTCTCTGCAGGATCTGTGGGGGGTTTTGCAGGCTCCAAAGCCCCTCACAGATCCTGCACAGCCCCCCTGAGATCCGGCAGACTGCAGGGTCTCAGGGGGGTCTCTGCAGGATCTGTGGGGGGTTTTGCAGGCTCCAAAGCCCCTCACAGATCCTGCACAGCCCCTCTGAGATCTGGCAGACTTCAGGGTCTCATGGGGGCTTTGCCGGATCTGTTTGGGCTCTGCAGCCCCATGGTGGGCAGAGCCCATTACAAATCCTGCACCGCCCCCCTGAGATCCAGCATACTGCAGGGCCTCCAGGGGGCTGTGCAGGATCTGTGGGGGCTTTACAGGGTCTCGGGCCTGTGCAGGATCTGTGGGGGGCTCTGCCCACCATAGACCCCGCAGAGCTCACCACAAATCCTGCTAAGCCCCCCTGAGACCACAGCTTTCCTGCTATGCTAATAGCGGAACATGTCAAAAGCTGGATACAGTGTTTGCACTGTATCCAGCGACTGACAGGTCACACAAAAAGTATTAAACAGGAAGGGGTGGGGTAAATTTAGTGGGGGTGGGGGCGCCCGTGTTTTGCCTTGCCTAGGGCAGTCCCAAACCAGAATACACCACTGCGTTCAGGGACCACCAATTGAAATAGATCCGACTCACCCAGATCGCCTTGGTATGCGATCCGGGCCAGTCACAATTAGGCAGCGGCAGCCAATAAACAGGTAGGTTAGACGGCTGCTTCCTCCTCGCTAGGACCCAGTGAGGACCCCGCAAGCGGCCGTCTAATCTGCCTGTTTAGAGGTCACCGCCGCTGCCTGATTGTGACCGGCCCGACTACAGAGGCGATCCGGGACGTTCAGGTCCCCCGTGAGAGCCGTACAAGGCCCTAAAGGCAGTGATGTTGAACGTTTCTTAAACCCGAGCGCCCAAACTGCAATACCAAACTTATTTTGAGCGCTGGCACTTTGAGATAAATAAATTGATTTGGCGTCACAGTTTGGGCACTCGGGTTCAAAAAGGTTCGCCATCACTGCCCTATATGCTCACAGAATCAATTAATCCATGCCTGGATGTTTCTGCCTCACAGGTATTTTGGCCTTCCTGACTGCACTAGTTACAATGTCCAGACTGTCAGTGGAACTCAGAGTTTGCAGAATTTTCCCAGCCGACAGAGAGAGCCTTATAGCTGGATTGCTATGCCCTTCTCTCACTTGGGAATAGGCTGTATAAAGCTGGCCATACACTGCTTGAATTTCCCTTGGCCCTTTCGGATTTTTATTAAACTTTTGTTGAAGGAGCGAACAATGATAGCAGCCAATTGGCAGGTGCCAGCTCTCAGAATATAATAGCCCGGCAAGGGAGAGTCCCTCATCCACACTGTTTTAGCATGGATGGGGAAATCAATTGATTTTTTACTACAAACTACAAGTGTATGACCAGCTTATAGTGTATTTTCACTTTTGTAGTCAAATTTGAGAAAACCCCACTTTGTTTTTATGTGTACTTACCTTTTAGCTGTTTCTTTGGTGAAGGCCTTTGTGTAGATTCCAGGCTACCCTGAGCAGTTTGAAAGTGAAAGACTGACTCACTAACATAAAATGGTTCTAAGTTGTTAACCCTTTGTTAGGTCAGACAGTGTTCGAATCTAGTTCACAACTGATAATGAGATCTGCCAGCACGGTACAGACAGGGTTCATTAGAGTAATCATAACTTCCCTCAGCCCCCTCCTGAACATTACGTAGGGGAACGCTAGGTAGGATTTTTAAGCAAGTATAAAGTACCTAAAAATGTAAGCAGCAATTTTCTACTTTTT